AGCCATTCCTATTGACTACTCCATCAAACACTGAAACACTATTCAAACATTCAAACACTTTCCTTGCTAACCTTTGTCTAACATTTTCATATTATTTCTCATACTTTGTTTCCCGAAAATAAGGGCTATTTTGGAAAAGTTTACTTTAAAACTTATTTAATGAGAGAAACAATTTTCTCTTAATGTTGTATTCAAATGATTTTAATTATTGTTTTTTGAAATTTGTTGAATGCGTGTATATATCGCTCCGTTGGTAATGGCTTTCAAATTATAACTCATATGCAATAGTTTGCAATACCTTATACAATTTTATTTGTGTGAATTTATTTTCCCTGTTAACCCTTTGGTTAAGATCTCTATTTTATTTTAAACTAAACCATAGATTAATGTAATCATGAATTTAATTGCAGGAAAACCATTGATAACAAATTTGATCACTTATGGATTTAAACACTACTTTACCAAATACATTACAAATGTTCAAAGGTTCTTGAATTAACTTATAAAAATTGTATCATAAGGAAAGTATAGAGTTTATTTCAACAAGCAACCTTTCTATGAAAAATTCATTTGAAATAATTATCAAAAAACTGTTTGTATTTTATTAACAGAAAAGAATTGTCTAATTTCATGCTAAGTGTTAATAAAACTTTAGATAATATATAAATTTACATTCAAATGAGATATACAGTACATAAGTATTAAAGATCTTACTGTAGTTTTTATGGCAGCAAAATAGGATGGGCAGCAGCTCTGGGAGCAGAATAGCAACACCGGGAGCACCTGTTTGGACAGTTTGCACACTTTGTTACGTAAATGTTTGCCCCTTAATGTTGATCGTCAGAACAATTTGCATGACTTAATGACTTTGAAATTATTAACACTAAGAGACAGACACACAATACGTGACTTCCGTTAACAAGTTTGAGTCTTTGCAAACGTCCATAAGTGCCATAACTGGCAATTTGAAACAAAAAATAGTCTTGAAATGTGAGCCAAAAATATAAAAACTATAATTTAGTGGAAGCAAAGTGTCTGTAATAACATTTGTATAGTTTTGAGCCGAAATGAGTGAACAAAACAAGAAAATTATAATAAAGTGGACTTGAATTTCACAAAATAATATGTAAAACAATACTACCATTAGTTGTTCAGACTCTCTCATTCAATTTGGACGCCGCTATCGTATCATTATATTCTGTATACAGAATTGTATAATTGAATTAAATGAGCTCTCAATGTCTGTTAATCTGAAACTTTTTTCACAAATCCTTCATCAAATTCAAGAGCAGATGATTTCTCTCACTTCCAATTCATTCATTGCATTCATTATAGTATTTGGTATTCAATTAAATGAATATCAGCTAAATTGATAGGGAAGTAATCTTTTCAATTTTACATTATTATTCACATCAAACTTTCCCCTCTCTTTAACTCAAATGACTGCAATTGACTTTTATTTAAATTGAAATCACTATTCATTATATTTAATTGACTTCTTATCATAACGTATCCAAATATATCACAATTTTATTCACAATAATTTTGCATACTGTTTGCAAAAAGGTTAACTGATAAAAGGTTGCAAATAGTACAATAATACAGTATTTGTTATATAAAACTTGTTATATAAAAACATTATTAACAAATAATAAAGTGTTCAAGAGTTTTTTAATTAATAATTTTTAAATAAAATAAGATGTCTTTTTAAAAATTTTAATTTAATTTTGAATAATTGCTTAGAGTTAAATTGAAACAATTTGTTAATGCTAAGATTTTTTCATTTATTTTAAGAAAATGTTTCATTATTCATATGCAGTCAAAAACAATTATTAAATGCTTTTATTTAAAAAGTATTTTTTATGAATTTAGGATTATCTAATAAAAATGAATTTGTCCTGATATTAATGATTCATTATAATTAAGAATTTATTAAAGTGTTAACAGATTTAGAATTTTTATTTATTAGTAATTATAAGAAATTAATTATTATAAATAATTATAGTTGTAATACTATTATTGTTTATATGCTTTTAAAATGTTTGAAAATATGATGCTCGCTATTAATGGGAAATATCGACACAAACGGCACTTCTTTATACAACAACTTTTGTAAACCGTATTCTTGAAGCAAACATAAGTTGCGATCAATTTTGTTTTGATGGCATCTGTTTGTGTGAAAAAGTCCTGCGGCTAACCATTAAAGTTAATAATACAACAAAGAAATTGTGCGCCGAATAATGTATTAATACATTAATTATATTTTAATTTTATACAAACAGTAATCAAAATCCAGTTGTACTCCAAGCGATGCTTTACTTCATTTGAATACTAGTCAAGAGATAAACAAACTAAACAATTATATGCAGTAAATAATTATAGAGTGGGCTATATTTCCAACAAATTTATCGCAGCTTTACTGCTATATAAGTTGTGTTTTTAAGCTAAAACAAAACTTATAATTGAATTTCTAAATTCTAATCATAAAATAATGAGTATTTGCACACAATTCTTGTCATATAAATATACATAACATGTATATAATTAGTGTAATTCTATTTAGAAAGTTAATGACATTTACTGTACATGAATTCAAATATTTTGTTTTACATTCAATTTTAATATTAATTAAGTCAGAAATGACCAGAATTATCAAAATGTTCTACCATTTCAAGTAAAGCCTAAAACAGTGACTAAATTTAATATTGACTTCACGACAGCCCCAGACCTCTCGTTACACAAAAACTTTACGATGAGATATAGTCTCTCAAAAATATATACAAATATTCGGTGTTTTGCTGACAAATGACTGACTATTCATACCACATGAATGCATTGTGTTTAAAATACAGTATCGTTATTGTGTAAATTGTACTGTATAACATAATACTGTATATTCAGTTCAGTAATTTACTTTTACTAATGAGTAAGCTTCCAAATGCAATAATGCCAGAATTTCAATTGAAAGTTTTAAACTTAAAATTTATTATAATTAATGACTGTGAGTGTAATTAAATTTAATTATTTAACAAATTCAATATTTTATTCAATTAATTTGTATATTAATTGAAATAGTAAAATGCTTTAATAAAAGCTAATACTAGTCAAGCTCTAGGTCTTGATAAAAATATTGACACTTTATTATTTAATGAAAATAGTGTATTATATGTGAGAAAGCAAATGATTCATTGGATTATAATTTTAATGTTTATAAGCGTTACCAACATTTAGGCAGAGATTAATTTGGTATTTAGTGTTTGGCAACGGTTTGAATTAAATAAATTTACATAACATTAGTAAAACTCTATTAATATATTATTTTGTGATTTAAGGGATGATTTGTTCAAAAGGGAACTCAATGTTCAGTGTTTGAGTTAATATAACATTTTGAATAAAAAGTATACTTTGAATAGAGTATTACAAGTGTTTTAAATTTGGAGAATAATTGAAGCGTAAAATAAGGCGATAGGGATCGGTTGCTGTGACCGCATAATCAGTTTCAAATAACTAATAACTTATTATTTAATATTAATATATACAAAATCTTGAGAGTTGTACTCAATTTGATTGATGCAAACTCTTGGCTATTATGAACACAAGCGTCACAACCATCACAACCATCTCTACCACAAACACTGCATAAAAGAAGACAATTTCACGCAAAAGCTGTTCCCGTTTGTTAAGATCAGTCGCGTTGACATCGATTAATGATAAGCAATCGGTTTATATTATGGCACAGTATCGGAAAGATTTACATTTTTGGCTAATGTTTTATAAATAGCAAACTATTGTATTGTCACGAGTGGAGGGCCCTCTCAGCTCTTATTCATATTTTGCTTTTCCACTCAAATGCTGTTAAATAATGATTTAAACTCAGGCTTCTGTTGTGGGTATATATTGTGGTCTTAAGAATAGACACAATATTCTTAGCCATTGATACACAAGCGCTCGAATGGTATGATTTGAATGGAAATGAAAAGTGAGAAATACTCGAAACACAGTTTAGCTTTGCTTTCGGGGATATAACAAGTTTAGGGCATATTTTTAGTGCTATTTTGCCTTAAAATATAATAGCAATGAGAGGCCCTTTGGTAGGCTCTTTAACTTTACGACTTCTCTACTTACAAATGGACCACTTCTTCACATGGAGTGCCTCTTTGTGCTCTCTATTCAATGAGTCCGTACGCAGACTTATAGGACTATTGCCTTTCAGTGTGCGATCGATCTCTGCTCCTCTTTTGTCCTTTCAATGCCTGAGCCCACAGTCACAGTCAAAGTGAGTGCATATTTTCAAGTGTCAAACAAAATATTATGTAATGATATGTGAAATGTGAACACAACTCCTACATTGGCTTTGATTCGCCACACTTTGCTTTTCTCATGTTTTCCAACTAAACTCCTCCTAAAAGCTATGTTTTCACTACAAATTAGGAGGAGCTCTCTCTCTCTCTCTCTCTCTCGCATTCATTGTATTTAGCAGAGAGAGAGAGAGAGAGAGAGAGAGAGAGAGATGAGGGGTATGATGGGTGAGGGGGTGAGGGGTAGTCAAAAATAAAGAGAATGTTGAGAAGTGTTGCAAATATTGGAACTATAGTATAGGTGTTTGCTTTAGTGAACGCATGCACACCATAAGCACATAGAGTATGAAGTGGTGAGGAATCGAGAGAATGGATGTGTTTGTAGTTCACATTCCGCCTCAATGTATGCCTGACTGGCCTGTGATCGCAGGTGTGCTTTCAAACTGATCTCTATAAGGATCACAATTTTGTTTGTGTTGTCGTGCGATATAGACATTCACACATTAAGACAAACGCTTTCATTCAGTATTAATCTTATATTTAATCAATATTCTAATGATTTCATGATTTCCTTACTATTGAGTCATCACCAGAATTGTCGTCAATTGTCTTAATTGTGAATAAAAAGTACAAAATATTTAATTAATAAATGAATGGCATTATAATTGTGTTAAAAAAAGTTGTGAAAAGTTTGCACAAGTAATGCCTCGTCCGGGAAGAAGCACTTACGGCGACCAAAAGCCTCCCTATTCTTATATATCGCTCACATTTATGGCAATCCAGAGCTCGGGCGAGAAGATGTTAACACTGAGTGAGATCTATAAGTTCATTATGGATCGGTTCCCTTACTATCGCAAAAACACACAGCGCTGGCAGAACTCGTTGAGACACAACTTGTCATTCAACGACTGCTTCATCAAAGTTCCCCGAAGACCCGACAGACCGGGGAAAGGCAGCTATTGGGCACTCCATCCGACCTGTGGAGACATGTTTGAAAACGGATCCTTCTTGAGGAGACGCAAGCGATTCAAACTTCCCAAACATATGCGAGACATTGAAACGGCCCAGGCAGCCATGAATGAGTTCAAGCAAATGGAGGCCCAGAACTCGATTCAGGAACAGGCCAAGATGCGATTGACAGCACTGGCAGCCGCTCCCAGTCATCTGCAAAACAATATGCACTCAGACATCGGTCACACCATTCATCAAAACCCATACAAACAGTCCTTTTCTATCGAACACCTCATTGGACCGGAAAAGACCAAAGAATCCAATTCGCAGTTATCTGTGGCTCAGCACCAGTTGGCCGTCGCTCAGGAACAGGCGGCGGCTGCTGTGCGGGCGGCCCTTCACGCGGCTTCCACCGGCTCACTCATCTCAGCGCAGGCATTCAGGCCGGGCTTACCTGCCTTTCCCGGAGCCGCTTCTGGTCCGCCGACCACAATGTCTTGGACTCCGCCCTACACGACATCATCAGCGATGGCAGTGGCGGCGGTGGCGGCCGCGTCACTACAATCTCAGTTCGGTCACAATGGCTGTGCGATGGGAACAACACCACTGGCACTGTCGGCAGACTTTCCTCATTTGCTGACAATGAACAGCGCATCCATGGCTTTAAGACACGGTCTCACAAATACCTCAAACAATTCCCTCAACTCTCTGAACTTCAACTCACTTCCGGTGAGACAACACTTTCTGCCGGCTTTGCATCACTTCCCTAACTTCGCTGCGGCGGCCGCAGCCCTCGAGGCTCACGACCACACGGCTGCTCTGCTCAGTGCCGTCGGCTCTGCCAACCTCACGCCCCCACCCAACTGTTCGCCATCACCTCCTGTTAGAGTGGATTCCGTCTCAAGTGATGTCTCCGCAAAGTCTTTAGATGTCGTGTCCGACGAATCCTCCAAATAGAACTCATAAGACATGAATTTTTGACAGAATTTGTCATTTAGTGTAAAGAAAACATTTTGTGTTTAATAGTGTAAAGTAATTATTGATATAATGTATAGAACTGTATCAACCATATTATCATCTCATGACACCATTGCTTCTGTTCCTATAAACCAATGTCTTGAAGTCAAATGAAGACAACTATTAAGACTTTCTGCAATAATAACTTCCAAAAGATTATACAACGACTAAAGAACTGAAGAACTGATAATTCAGAAGATCTGACACTAAAGAGCATGAATTGAAATGAATTGAAACGAATGGTAGGAATAACTTGAATATAATTGTTATGATTCATAACATTTCAAATTGATATAACGTTAGGATTTAGTTGTTTTCAAGTGAAAGTAATCTATCATTTCGTAGCAAATATTGTAGAAATATATTATGATTTATAATCATTTATTGCTATTATTGTAAAGTCATAATTAAAAAATTTTATTTATGCCTCAAGTGATTAAAATGAGTCTCACGTTTGCTCATTAAAGTTATAAAATTGAAAAAATGCATTTGACTTATTTTAATAGTTAAGCGCGACTTTAAGTCACAATCAGTCATTCAGTCATTCATTTCTGCAAACATTGCAAACACGGTCTCAGAGAAGCCAAACACTGCATAAGTATAGCAATAACTTAAAGCTAATAAAGCTTAATGTAATCACAGGTCTCACGACTCCTTTTGTACATCCACTCAATCACTCTATTCTGCATTCAATTCTCCAAATTAGTCACAAATTCATCCTTTGTCTCATACAGACTGAAGTACACTCTCTAATTGAATTCAATCAATACATCACAGGATTATCCGTTAACTTCACATCAATTGTCTCTTATATCTTATACACTGTAGACTACCTCGAAACTTATAGCCAAATCATTTGATTAGAGCATATTTCTTAGTTTTACTATACAGTACCTGTATACTACATGTATTTTGCAAACCTTTACGATTCGGGTTATTAACACAAATTCTGGATTAAATCCTATTAATAAAGAATTTGGATTCTGATACACATTAACGATAATTTTATTATAATTTATTTGTGTTTACAATTTGCATTCATTTCATGCTTATACGAGTACAATTTTAATCTTTTAGATATTTAATCCAAATCCCAAAGTGATACAATAAATTATAGATTTGTTTATTTTGTCCGTAACATAAATATTTATTTTATATTTATAACACTTATTATTATTTACATAAACATTAACTAGTGTTCAATAGAGACGTGAAGTACAGTAAAGTGCAAACATTTAAGTATTTTGCAGCTATTCATAAATCTTAAGATATTAAATCAATATTAGCATTACAAGCTTTTATTTTCTTTTAAACATCTATTCTACAACTTTTATTGTACTGTATATAAAACTGTTGTGTATTGCTGTTTTTGCTTTTATAAATTAGAGCTGGTCATATAAATACAGTGCAGTTTATGATTTTACGATATTCAAAATCATATTTAACATCATTGGCGACAATTTGTGACTTTTCTTACTTTCCTTTCTTTACGGTATAGAAAATGTTAATTAATTCTATTTAAAAACGATTATATTTATATTTACTAATATTTTCTTATTAGAATATTTTTATCTAAATTTTATTCAAATTAAACTGTTTTCTATTCAATCTATAGAACAAATATTTACAATAGTATTACTTACTTTATTGAATTACTAAAGAATTAGAATTTCATTTTAATAAATTTTATTTAATATTATATTCTTAATACGATAAAAAAATAATAAGAATTTCATATGAATCACAATCACAAGGAAAAGACGTTTAGTTACAATGAAAAAAGTCTAAATTAATTTCATAAAATTTTTAGGATGATAATATATTACCAATTAATTGAATGATATAATTGTCTAAATTCTAAAAAATGTAAAAGAAATCTTTATTATTATGGTTTTATTTAATGATAACTAGAGAAACAATAAAATAACGATCAAAACAAATGTTCACGACTTCAGGAATAAAGATAAAGTTTTGAAGTTATTATTAGAGGACATAGAGCTCAGAGAGGATTTGTGTTTTGCAATCATTTATTTTAGATCTTTATTTTTATGTCTAATAATTATATTCTTTAAGGGCTGTCGTCATAAGGAATTGTCGATTGGATGGCTATGTTTTGTTATAATGTTGTTTCCCTTTGCACTGCTCTAAGTTAACTTAATTATGATGTCTATTGTACTATAAATTCACACAAAAGTATTAAATTATTAGTGGTTAGCGTTTGCTTCATAATAATGAGTGTAGAGTAATTCAACAATTTATATAATTTTTCGGTGCAATAAATACAAACAATTGAGTGAATTGTTTTGAAAACTATTAAAAATTCATTATTTAATAATTTTCATTGAATTGGTTTGAAAAGAATATGCGATTTGTAGAGACGTGGATAGTCTTCATCGCTATTTTATTCATGATATCGTTTAACACTAATATTGAATAGGAATTGCAATCATTGGTCTTATAGAGTATTATTTGCGGTGTTTTCTAATTTGTAGTCTAATCTGCGGCTAATGTCCATAAAATTGAGTGCCCTTCAGATGAGCGTATTGGGGCCTAAAGCCAAACAAAATTCTTGTATTCAGTTATGTCTGTGTGATGTTTGGCTCAAACAAACCTATGAACTGTTGTGTGAATGGCATTCATTTCAATACAAGTCAACATTTAATACCTATGGGTCACAAAAAACGTATTTACTCAATGAGCTAATGGTAAGACATCTCAAACGCAATACAATTTACTTCTTAATAGCAGCTATTATTAGCATATCTGTTCATGTATACCTGGATCATTGTGGTGGTGTGTGCTTGTTGTGGGTGGTCTTTATGGCCTATCAGTCCCTCTATTATATCTACTAATAGAGGGATGCAATGAAATACCATCGACACAAAAGTCATTCACAACCAAATACTTGAGAACTATTGTCAGAAGCAATGCATTTCGATGACTATCATAACCGTTAATATATCCATCTATTCATTATTCCTATACTACAGTATATTATACTTATTATACTACAGTATGCTGTATACTGCACTGTAATGAACACACCATTCATTCCTATGCAATAAATAGTGGCTATAAATCCAGTACATTTCATTACATACCAAATACAATGTTTGAATTGTGATTTAATTCATTCAACTCTATCTTTGTATCGCGAAAATATAATTAAAGAATTTGTAAACATATACTGTATTACAACTAAAAAGTGATACCTCTCTTCATTACTCCATTGAGTTGGAGTAAAGAATTGAAAATTATTTATTTATTTATATATCCATTGATATATTGATTACATTATAAACAAGAGAAGCAGTGAATCGTGAATACTATGGTTGGACTGGAGTTCCACACAAAAGCCATTCACAGAGAATGAGTCACTTCTGAAGACTCCTGTCGTGAAACTTGAGGCACAGGTGCGACAGATCTGTCCCAACATTAATCTAACTTTGATTATACTGTATTCACTCAAATCATATGTCAATATTTAAATATAATATATCTTTTAAAGTTAAGCAATCAAATTCTAGCATTTATTTAACATAAGATTATAAAAGTTAAATTAATTGAATTATTTTTATGTAAATATGGCATTTTAGCAAACAAACTTAATATTAATATCTCGGTATTTGATTAGTTATGCCATTGTATCCACAAAACGCTATTGAAGTATTTAGAAGTTATATAGATTTTAATCTTAATTAATTACCTAATGATTGAGTGCTGTAATGGTTTGTCTTCATTGGAATCAAGTGTAATGTTGAACCCGTTTTCTAAAGTATTTTCTTATTGTTTATCATATGAACAAAAAGTTAGAATTTACAGAAATAAAACATAAGGCATTGATTGTTATGTGAAATACATTTATTTAATTCAACTAATAATCCAAAGAGTGATTCATTAATTATTGTTTGAAGATATCCGATAAGGTTTATAATCAACTTATTATAGCGCATAATATATTATCTGTAAAATTATAATAATTTTAAAAATATTATTAATGAGTACATAAATAGTGTATAACATGTTTGATGTTTTATAACAGGTTTGATTACAACTTAGGATAACAAGTAATGCAATGTAACATTTCAAGAAAAACATAAAAATAATTCAAATATAGAAAAACCGATTAAACGAAAGGAATTGATTTAAAACAAGAGTTTAAACTTTGTTTTATTGAAAGCTAATGAATAGGTTTTATAGAATATTCTAAAACTCTATTCGTATTCTATGAATTAGATGTTTGAAAACATACAGTATTTGTGAAATCAATGAAAATTAAAGGCAATGAAGTAATTGTTTTTTAGAAACAATCGTAAATCATAAGACATTTTTCTAATCTAAATGAAACAAATAACTTATAACATTAGAAAATATTATTTAGTTTTATGAGTTTTCAAGGATTGCAATCAATAGCATGTTTGTAGTAAAATGTCATAATTTTGATGTATACTGTAAATCTTTCAGTCCATTAGAAAAATTAGGATTTAATACAAATGTTAAGGTTTTAATAAAATGGCATAAATTCATTAAATAAAATAATATTAAAAACATAGCATAACATTTAGCATAGCATATGATTACAGCATTAAATTAATGGTTTAATAAAAGCTTTTAAATAATTAGAAATAAAGGAATAGTGTTTGTTGTTTCATGTTTGGTTTATTTGAAAATCATTAGATTTAAATGAGTTTTTATTTATGAGAGGAATGTTAGCAAAATATTGAAGTTGTTTATTGAGAATATCGTGGAGTATTTGAATTGAATGTATAATTTGTGACAAACAGATGGATGAGTGCATTAACCGAAAAGACTCGTTGTATTACATATGACTGTTTATTTTTACTTATCTTTAATGATTGATATTAAAGTCAATGAGATTTTTTCGACAGCAATAAGAATAGCAGTGATAGCAGTGATAGCAATGCAAAGCAAAGAATAGT